TTTTTTTTTTTTTTTTTTTTTTTTTTTTTTTCTGGCTATTAGGAGCAACAGTTTCAGTTTTGCAGTTTTTCTATGTTGTGATATGACAAGACTTAAGGAAAGTCAGCTTTTGAAGTTTTCTTTCAACATATTAATTGCTCAGTAAACATCAAATGTATTGTTGAAGTGGTTAAAAGAAAATAGACTTTATTTACTAATGGATGTAGTTCTGTGCTAAAAAAATTCATCTTGCTGTATCTACCAAAGTGTAGTTACGGCTTGATGAGCTTTTTTTATGAAGGTGAAGAGCTCACAAAAAAGTGAATTATTTTGTTCATATGTATATCATAAACATTTGTCCTAGCTCTAATTCTCTCTGAGATTAAGTAATCCAAGACATATATTGCCGTTTTCCTTTAATAGAAGTGAGCCATTCCTGTAAGAGCACTTTTATTTATTGTAGAGTGTGGTTATATCATTATAATCTTCCCGGGATGATAAATCATATACTTCAGTGTTTTTCAGCGTACTGGCCTAGAGTCACTAGCATTTTGTTCTTGATGGTTTTTGTCTAAGGTCTTTTCGTGTGGGTTTGGTTTAATTTTATAAGAAAGACTTTGCATTCTTGGCCACATACATCTTTATAGATGCTACATGTAAAAACATTCTATTTTTATCCTTCGAGTGCTAAGTGTTTGTCCCTCTTTAGGGCATCACTCCTTACTTCATCATCTTCTATCTGTTTCTGGCTCTTAATGCTGTCAGAGGTGAAAGAGACAAACACATGGGACTGTATAGCTCTCTGTGTAACACAAGCAAATGTTTTGATGATGACGGTATCATGAATCTTTTGACTGAGGAAGTTTATGCCCTGCGTGTATCAGGATGGTACTAGTAATTTCTGCAGGCAATGTTGATCTTGGTCAGATTTTAGAAAGGGATTACATTTCCTGTACACACTGACGAAATAGACATTTTCTAACTAGTGCTTAAGTCCATATCTGGTATAATTCTAAACTCACTGGATTAGGTGTCCTTTTTCATCTTCTAGAGATAGAAGCTTCTTGTTTCTTTTATGTGAAACTACATTATTTCTTGAGATAAACACCAAAACACATTTACCTTTTATCCAGAATGTAAAGATCTCTCTTAACTATTGTCTGTTACAAATGGTGAAGTGCATTATGTGACTCAATGATATTCCAAAGGTGGGACAAAGAATAGAGGTATGTATACCAAGAAGTTTGCAGGATCTAGCCTGGAAGAAAACCAGCATAGTCCAGCAGTTAGAAGAGACTGCGTAGGTATCAGATATGGATTTCAGCTCTGTGCAGTACAGATGTAACCTTGGAAAAGGCAGGCAATTTCTGTGTCTGTTTCATACTTCAAATATAGAGTTAGTAGCACTTGCAGAACTCTATAAAGTATTTGAATGCGTTTCGAGAAAAATTAAAGTTCTGTATTTCCTAAGAATTCCTGAAATAAGTGAGAAATAATTTTACTTTTGTCTGACTTCAAAAACCAAAATAAACAGCATTTTAGGACAAGATGGAAAGCCAACATAAAATAATGTGTGAGGTATATGGTAACTGTATTTGCATGTTTCTGCTTCATATGCTTGTTTTTCCTTTCAGAGAATTTTCTGTAAGAATTTACATCTTGACTCTGGCATGGCATGAAAAAAATAGTTTTATTTTTCTACTTTTCTTCCTTCAGAAATCTTTGTCTGTGTTGAATATCAGCAATAACAACATTGATGAATTAGAAGAACTGGCAGTTTTGGAAAATCTTTCTTATTTTAGAGCAGTTGACAATCAGCTTCAACATATGAAGGTATTAAAATAAATATTTGTTCTATTTAGTATGGGTGATAAGAAATTAGTCAAATTCATCTTTATCACTAAATAGATGAGTAAAAATAAACTTTACTTCTGCAGCTACTGAACCGATGACTTTCCAAGCATGCTGGCTTTTCTCATCCAAAATTCTTCTTGAGATTAAAAATGGCAAACTGCTTATCTAGGATGTCGAAATGTCCTTTAATCCTAGATAAAGTGGCAGTTGTGCATGCATCTATCAACTGAGTAGTAAATGCATGGAAGTTATACCTATAATATGATATGTCCAAAATGTCGGGTTAGTGTGTATGTTTTGACCATCTGAGTGACGGTCAGTGGCTTAAATTGCAAAGATGACATGGCCATTGTTTGTAAATTAACATGCAATGTTTTATCATATTACAGGTTTAATTCTCTATTTTAATGTAAAGAAAAGCCGCTGCTTGGTTTTCAGATCATCTAGCTGATTTTGCAGCCATTCTAATATCAAGATTACTTTTTGACTATTGTTGCTGGAGTAGCCTAAGAAGTATTTGTCATGAAAGCATACATTGAATTTCATTCATAAATTTCTGCTAAGGAGACATGTCTTCATAAGCAAGAGCTCTGACTTCCACAGTAGCAGCTAAAACAAATGAAATAAAAGTATTTTTGGTTTTCCTTTTGCAATAGTGAATGTGGTTCAAACAGAATGGTCTAGACTTAACAATATCCAGCTTATCTTCTCAAAAAGGAACATGAGTATTGGCCTTCTTACATCTCATTATTTTCATAAGTTATGATGTCTTCTACTTCTTGACCTAAAGAGCAGTTAAAAAAATTATTTTAGTGTCATGCTAGTAAGTGAGTATCAGATTTATGTTAACCAGTATGCTGATGCCATCATTGCATGGTGGAGGCATGAACAAGCTTTATAAGTGACTTCATAAACACTGCCTTCATTTACTATAAACCAGAGGCATTAGTGTTCTGCTTTTTTTGAAATTAATATTTTTATTAATAAAAAAATGAATTGGCTTAAATCACAACCCAAATCACCAAGACAAAGCCTCGATTAAAATAAACTCTTTCATTACTGATTTACATATACATTCTGTTTCCTTAGAAAAGTTAACGTTATTTGGTTAGTAATTATTAAAATAAGTATTCTTATTACTTCTTAGAATACTTAATATCTTTTACATTAAATTTGAAAGTTCTGTTTACTAATGAGGAAATTCCAGTATTTTGTGTACATAATCTATCAATTATCTAGGTCAATATACTTTATTTGGGTTCCTAACTTTTAAAATTTTAATATTAAAAATTGTTGAATGATACATTTCTTTTTTACTAGAGGATTATTAATGTATTTCAAGCTGCATTTCTGTCTGGAAGTTGTGATTGAATTCATATCAAAATACAATTCATGTAGGCTTTTGCTGGATAATTAAAACCATATTGAATGTGTTGGTTACATCAAAATAACAGTAAGCTTTTTAAAATAGGTAGTCTCTCCAAAGCTTCACTTTTGAAAAGGCTTCCTTTTCTAAATAAAACACCTTACAGTGATTTTTTTTGTCTTTTTTCTTTATTATAAGTACAAAAGCTCCAGTTGTGACGATCTTAAAAAAGATTGTCTTAGCTAAAGAACCATCTGATTTTAAGAATAAGGATACGAGTTCAGAGTCAGCATTTTCAGTGCCTCAGAGGAAAAAACAGTGTCTTCTGAAACAGAGTAAGGAGAGGACAAAAAGACTGCATTATTCAGTAGCTCTGTATATATTATTAAATCATTCTTAAATTTCATTATTTCATCATCAGGAAGACCAGAGTTAATATTTACCCAAATCAATTAGACATTTAGACTTCCATATTACATGGTCACAGCTTTTGAAAAATTATGTGGTTAGCATTTGAGTTAGCTGCTGCTTTCAGTTACACTTCAATCAGGTTCTGGTAAATTTTGAAAGTGACTGTCCTGTGTGTTTTCTAAACAATCTCCAAGTTTTGAAAATACAGAGCAGACAGTGTATTTCTATTCATATCTTTGCAGACCTGTAAAATTAATGACCACATTGAATGTGTTTAGCATATAGTGTAATGGAGCTGGATGCCTAACTTTCCAGCTAATATTACTGTGTTTCAGAGATTACATTTTAGTAGGTTCTACTTATCACTAATGTAAATTCTTATTTCAATTAAAAAAGAAAAAAATTGTTGAAAGAGCAGTAGGCCATGCAAAGTATAAAAAAAAGTTGGTTGTAGTTCTACTGTAGTTCTATTTGAGGCTTTAACTTAGAGTGAACATCTAGCAGAGCGATCTTGTACATCCAGTAAATGTTTAAAAAAAATAGCAGATGTTTTGAATATGTTTCAATTTGTTTGCAACCCTGAATTTCATGATTCCATGGCTTACCTTACTCTACAAATGTGATAGATGAAAGGATTTTAGGGGGTATACAACTGTGCTGCATATACTTAATTGATTCTGCTGGCCAAACTTGTTATAGACAGCAAAGGATCTTTCATTCCCACACAAGCTGCCTCCATTCTTCTCCCTCTTGCCCGTCTGTTTTCAAAACTCCGATGTGTACCTCTTTTTCCTGCCAAAAGCACTATGTTCCGTGTTTTCCTGTTCCTGCTTCCCCATCACTGCCACCAGGAACATCTCCAGGAATGTCTGGCGTTGATCAGAGCCCATATCATTACTTAATTGGTGTAATTATTTTATCTCAGTTTTTCTCACATTATCATGAAAACCTGTACTCCCTTGCTTTTCAACAATGCCATGTTGATTTCAGCATAGTTGAAAATTAGGGTTAATAAAATCAAGAACTTAAGGTTCTGACTAATTCAGGGCATTGATAGCACAATTAAAAGACTTCAAGGCACATGACCTTGTTTCACGTGACTGAAGTTTATATAATGCAGTCTGAACAGTGGACAGAACAAAATTAAATAATTTTTCTCAGTTCATGCAAAATAGGTTTCTGTGACTAGCTACCACACGTAAAAAACATGTCTTGGGTCAGTTATCATGAATATAATTGATTTTAATAAAATTGGCTTTTCTTTATTTTCTGTTGCTTGATAGTTCATTTTTTTACCCTATTGAGCTTCTGGTTTACTTGAGCCAGGTTCACAAGGACTTCTAGGCTGCAGTGTATTTGGGTTGGAATACTAAGGGATTTTCTTTGAAAAAACACTATTTCTATTTAAAAAAAAAAAAAAAAAAAAAAAAGAACTATTCCTGATTACAAAAAGCCAGAATAATAATTATTTATTTATTTATTACATTCGTTTTGGGAAGATGATGACTTGTATGAGCATTTGGATAGATAGAGAAAATATAGCTAGAAATACCTATAAAAATCTGTATTTCCTAAGTCTTTAATTTATTCAACCTCTGCCCAGTATTGATTATGACAAGAGGATATCTCAAAAGATGAATTCATTCTCTTCAGAATTGAGTCAGGAACAAGAGAAGAATTATAGATTTTCTCAAATAGATTATGACAGGTAATCAAAACGGTGACAAATTGCTGTCTGTAGATGTAGTTAGGGCAGTTGGACTAGACATTTCCGATAAAAACTGGAGCATACTGGTCAAATAGCAATTCTTAAATGGCCATCGTTAATTGGTAAGAACGTTACTGCCAGCACTACAGCTGCCTACTAAGGCACTTGCCCTTCCCCCCTTTCCCCCCCAATGGAATATAATTTGCTCGTCAGTATTTTGTAGCAGACCTCAAAGTGATAGCATGACATGATCATTTATCAAACGGAGACTGCCCAGAAGAGTGTCTGGTCCCTTTAGTACAGCTTATTGAAAGGCTGGGAAGTGAAAGCACTTTATTAGAGACAGGAAGGCAATGAACAACTAGAGCGTATCGAAAGGGTAATCATATTTCAGCACAGGATTAGTGTGCTCTTAGATAAACATACACTGGAGTAACCATGTTCGGGGTCATTTATCAAGTAAGTAACAGCTAACAAAAATCTACAGGACTCTCTGTATACATTCATCAAAGTTAAACTGTATACATTTTATTTCAGTAACAGACAATTTTGTGTTGCAAAACTATTACTTGAAAAAGTTCTTTCTAGTGAAATCTCAAACACTTTACAGATTGCAATGACAATGCCCGAATGCTCAGGTAAGACTAAATAAATAAACTTGCTAAATGCTGTTTCTTTTTTGATAAGCCAAACCTAAAATATTTTCCCCCTAACTTCTTGTGTTTGTGAATAAGTGTTAGCACCTAAACTGTGGGGGTACTGCTGTTCTGATACATGCTGATAAAGGTTTGCTGTGTAACTTTATAAGAATTATCAACATTTCTTCATATGGACTGATTCTCAGGGTTTGTTGCATTGTTTTATCAGTCTTGCTCCTCACAGAACCAGGCTTTTGCTCTCTGTTTTTCTAAAAAGATGGTATCATCACTGGATAATGATAGATGATATCACCATCATCATCAATAGACAAAAAATTATATGGTTTGGAGGTGTGAGGCTGTGCTGCCACTTCCTCTTCCATGTGATTCTTCTAAGCATGTATTATATAGCCCATAGAATGTTCCCAGGAGGATTTTCTAAGAAGGGAGTAGAGCCTGCACAACCAGAATTCTCCCTGCTTGCGTTACCCAGGTGATTTTCTAAATTTGAAGGATAAAGATATCTACAACTCTAGATACTTCATTATTGGCATCAAGCTGCAAAATTCTACAGACTTTGCAGTTTGGAATTTGTCACATCGTGATTAGTATATTTTTTCCAATTTATTACAACTGTAGAACATAAATTCTCTCTTCTCTTGTCTTCATACAGATTGTTTTTAATCCCTTCTTAACTTTTCACACATATAAAGAAGCCTGTCAAGAATGACAGTTAAGTGAAATTTTGAAAAGAAAGTATTTCAGAAAGTAGGGAGTCTGAGCAGAAAGGACCAACCTAAGTTTTGCATCCTTTTAACTTGTATTTATTGTACTTAAAAGACAGAAGTTTTATCTAGGTCATACTGCCCTTGGGTAACTAGACAGAAATCCAGATGGAGAAAGGTATATTTCAAAACTTTCACTATTTGGGCCAATACTATAACTGACCACCCACAGTTATGTAGGGGGGGATTACTGTTTCTCTTGTAAAATACAGTTTTACATATATCTATAAAGAGAGAGGCAGGTTATTGTGATTTGCGTGATTTTTAGCTTTTTTTAGTCTGTTCTTTCTCTGTATTTTTTTCTTCCACAGATTTTTTCAAAACCGAACCAAACACTGATACTCTTAAGGGCTCTGTGAGACCATGGGGATTTATTAACAGACATTACATATCATAAAATTTTGGGGGTAATTCCTCAACTTTAGGTGCTTATAAGTGGGATTGTAGTGGTAATTTTCCATAGCTGGCATTACTGTACCCTTAAAAATACAGAGTTTTCCAACTACATCACCATTTCTTCTGTGCAATTATGATATATTCAGGGAATGCTATGTACCACTCTATTTGAAAATGCACATTCTTAATGTGCACATTAATACATGAATAGTCTCATTTAAGTTATTTCTGTGTGCAGGATTTGGGCCTGGCTGAGCAAATCACATTACTATTGAATTTTACTCTGGAGGGGGAAAAAATAATCACAGTGTTCTGTTCTTGTGTCAATTGCAGGATTTGGAGGTTGTGTTAACCAGATGGACAAAGCTACGCAGAATGGATCTTACAGGAAACCCTATCTGCCAAAAACCAAAATACAGGGACAGGATTGTAGTACAGTCACGAACTCTGGGTAAAAAATAAAACCAATAACCAGACCCAAAACCCACCCATAACCCTCACTGTTTTAGAAAATAACTGATACATTAATGGTTCTTGAATTGTACTATGTATATAAACACAATTACCGCCATAGATATTTATGTCAAATGATAAATTTTTTATTTACGTACAGGCAAAGTACCTAAAACTGCTTATGTGATCAACTGCACAAATGGTGTTGCTTAGCTTTTGCTATTAGTAGTATTAACCATTCATTTTATAATAGATGATTGGAGAGTTTATTATAAAACAGAAAGACTTTTTTGTGTTTGTATTCCAGATGTTATGAAACTGATTTTCAAAGATAAGTTTAGTCTATTCCCCTGTCAGCCTGTAGTAGTTGCTTAGGTGTTTTAGATGTAGTTAGTTGTACAGATCGTACCTCACCATGTTTGAATTTGTTATATGACATTTATCCTTTAACTTTAATGTTTACTCATATTATGAATACATTTTTTAATCTTAACTTTACTGTGATGCATTTCACATTATTATTATTATTTTGAGATAATTTTAGCATAAATGGAAGCAACTTAGTCCTCTGTATGTAAGTATTCATACCGTAGAAACAAGTAAAAAATACCTGCTTGTTTTTTACTTTTCTAGATAAAGATCACAATTATCTTAAAAGTTGTAATTACAGAACTTGTTTTTCTATTCTCTGAGAGTACAAAATATTGACCATTAAGAAAAATAAAAAGCACATCTGCACAATGAAAATAACAGAGCCTTAGGACAGTTTTAACACAACCTAAATTTGTGGCCAAATTTGCTCTGACTCAAAAATGCAGGTGCAACCAAGGAAACATAGAGCATAAGCTTTATGGCACCTAAGTGAGTAAAGCTCACCTTGAAGAGCCAAATCTCTCTTTCTGTCCATATGATCAGTAGGATTCCTTGATTGCTAAGACATGCAGTTTCTCTCTCCTAACCTGCATCTCTGCATCTATATATATCTTGTGAAAGAATAGCTTTTCTTCTGAACTTTCTGTAAGGTGTTGCACATTAACTGAATATTGAAGGTTATAAAAATAATATACGATAATAATAATAATAGCAATAAAAATAATAGATGCTTTCTTTTGTAATTAAGACATGTCAACTCACTGTTGTTTGAATATGAGTATCAAACTCCATTGGGTATTTTTTTTTACCAAAAGGCTAAAATGAGCAAAAAAGATTTGGAGAGAGCAAACACAGAACCAGTACACATCACATAGCAGCTTTGTACAGCCTTTTAGTTAACTTCGGGTATCGCAGAAAATGTTCTCTTCTCTTTGACAGAATCCCTTGATGGGAAAGAAATTAAAGAAATGGAAAGACAGTTCCTAATGAATTGGAAAGCCTCCAAAGCTGCCAGGAAAAAAAACAAAGAAAGGATGACAAATGAACATGCAGCCTATCTACATTTTTGTAAGCAAACTAATCAATTACTTCATGCTTATTTGCAACATTATAGAAACAATAAAATAGCAGCTAACAGTAAATATACTGAGACTTGTACTGGTGCTGAGACCAAAACACAGGAGTAGAAATAGAACTTTTCCAACATAAAATTTAATTTTACCACTATGTCATGTGGTGTTTTTTCCCTCCCATCCCAATCTCCCAGAATTATGAAAAGGAGTAGCTAGTACATTTTGAATGTTTGTAAATACTCAAAAAAAAAAAAAAAAAAAAAAGTGTTGGGCATTCTAGAATAAATATGCATGAAAAAGATTAGACTTTTAAAATCTATTTGTTGATACTTACTTGAGCTGTGTAAATTGCTATCTTCACAAGATACATCTCTAGAAGAAGTAAAAGTTTTAAGCTTGGAAAGGGAAAAAAGAAGTCTTGGAGGAAAAAAGGCCTTAAACCTAAAAGAAAAGGCGACATGTTCTTGAAGCTGGAAAACAAATTAGTTTTGAAACGCAAGCAAAACCTGATATAAACTTTGAGGTTTTAAAAAAAATGGTGGGGTGGGGGTTGTTATAGAGTTGACTGCAGATTGAAACATAAATGACTTAAAAGCATGTCTTGCTATCTTGCAGGATTTGGAAACAGACATTAGACTTCAAATTACTCAGAATGGTTTGAATGACCATATTTATAAAATAAAATTGGTGGCAGTTACACTGTTGCTTTCAGAAGATAAACTATGACATGTAACTTGGGGGACAGATCATGTTCTTTATAGCCATAGTATCTCAAATTATTAATTCATGAAATCTCAGGAAGATCAGTTATTTTGAAGACATGAAGTGAAAAGCGCTCAGCCTGTCAGCCTCAGCCCAAAAAAAGTTGAAGTCTGCTTGGCATTTGGCAGCCATATGTGAATGGCAATGGTTCTGAAAGTAATATTCTATCTTCTGAATAACTACTGATATAAGAAGGTGTTATGTAATTGAATTTTCTCCCTTTCAAATAACTCTACCTGAGTGGGAATACCTGCTTTAATACTCACCTTCATCAGTGTTTGCAACATTTTCCATAATTTTGTACAAAGTTTTCCATTCTCAATTATCATATTTGAGGCGTTTTACCCTAAGGCTTATTATACTGTTTTCTATAACAAGATATATTGGAACCTGTGATCAAGCATACTTAAAATTTAAAATAGATATGGTTTGACTTGGGATATTGAATTAATCCTTTTTTGTTTGTTTGTTTTCTGCAGCTGACTATGAAACACTTTATCCTATTCTTCCCTTTCACTACAGTCACTCTGTGAAAGAAAACCCCAATTTTTTAGTTTTGTCTGAGATACACAAGGTTAAAAGTAAACATCTGCCCAGAATCCTGGAAAAAAAATAAGTCAGATGAAAATTCAGGTATGTTCTTCAGACATCTTCCTCTTCTTGGTAGCTCTTACTGAATCAGCTGAAAAATGAGTACATGAAGGTAAAAATTCATCTGAAATGAGTTTCAGGTGCTTTTAACTATGTTGTAATTTTTATCTTTATTATGCTGTCTTTCAAAGAAATAGATTTCAGTTTCTGGTTACAAACAGTAAACTAGCTAATAGTAATAACTTCAGTCCAGTGTTACTAGTTTGTCATATGCATTTGATTGTCATCTTCCACAAAGGTAAAACAATATTGAAATTAATTCTTGGAAGTATAGTTGCTGTCAACAGCATTGGTGAAGGTTGATCCTGTGCACACAGTAAAATGCAGAAGGAGAAACAATCGCTTTTCATTATTATAGCTTACTTCTAATAGACATATTCTGGTGTATTAACTACTTGATTAGCATTTTCCTGTAGCATCAGGTCAAGACCATCAAGATAATCAAGAAAGAAAATCTGACGTGTGTGCTTTACAGACATTTAGACATTAATTTAAATGATTCAGAATTTAGCATATGTATTCCTTACTCACGGAAGCAGCCTTGTGAACTCTAATTCAACTGTGGAAAAAAAATCTCCTCATAGGGGTTTGCAGTTTGGGACCTATAGTTTTTCCAGTTTTACCTGTAGTAACAGTTTAGTTCAGTATTTGGGACCTAATATCACTCCTTCCAGATTTGTAATGCTACTTTTAACCTAACTTTATTATTTATCAGCTGTACTGGCCAACAAAAAATAATCATTTATGCAGTGCTTTAGGTTAAATAAATAAATTCAACTGACACAGGTATTCTTTTGTAATGAAATTGCTAAATGGAGTGTTTTATTTTGCATTCAAATCAGAATTTATTAGTAGGTTTGAAAATTTAACTGAGCAACATTTAATACTATTTTATTCTTGACAACTTACCACTTTCCATTCCATCAGTTTTGTTCCTACTGATTATTTCTTCTGATTAAAAATATCTGCCTTTCCCTTGAGAAGGGAAGAATTATGAATCAGAGCTGCTCTATTCCAATGTAACATTTTTGTTCTTTGTATGACAATGGATATATTCTGGCCTAAAAAGCAACTGAACTCATCCTATACACGCCCATTCTGGATTTTTTTTCCAGCTGCAGAAGGCACATAGCAGTGGAGAAGTTTAAAAACAAAGCTGCAGGAACTAGTTATCCCCGAGTAGTACAACTATACGATTATTTTCCAGTGAATAGTCCAGGCTTGTGAAATTTAGAGGGGTATATGCTAATACTCGGGCCATACAAACATGCATTTTTCTCTTTTAATTCCACTGTAAAATGAGTTTGTCCACATGCTCAATATTCTGTCAGCTCACATTTCGTCTTTATTAGCATTCTGTGTTTTGCACCAGGCTGAATAAAACTAGGCTTTTCATTTACCATTCCCCTTAGTCCTAATAAAGGATGGAACATGCGTGTAGAGCACCTCCCAGGAAGTCAGTTTCTTCAGCATAAGAACTTCTGCTATCTCCTTTGAGATAAGTATTCTGATTTTACTCCACAATGATAAAAACCTGTCCAATTGTTGAGCTGCTTTGCCTGACAAAATTTTCCCAGTATTAAAAAGCTGGAGTACAATCCTGGCCCTGTTGAAATCCCTTTTGACCCTAGGAAGGCAAAGGTTGCATCTTCCATACTTGATTGGAATAAAATGTCTATATTTGTATTAATTTAATTTGAAAATTAAACAGTTTGAGTGTTTTTATTTTTCACTATTATCTTAGAAGATTTTACTCTAATTCACATAAATGTTAGAATAAACTACAGTCAGATGACACACATTTAATATTTTTCAAAAAACTTGTAAGTGGGACTTCTATCTTGGATGCCGAAGGTACATTACAATTTCACATGTAATCACTGATCTTGAGACATGTTCTAATCTTGTTACTAGTGAAATTCCATGGAAACCAAAGAGTTTTAGGAATTGGGTAAAGATTTGTGAATTCTTCAAAATGTGTTTTGGGGGAAAAAAAAAAAACCACACCTCAAAAGACAGAAATACTTATTCTCAGAGTATATGCATATATGAAATAATAACAAATCACAGTATTCCCTTGCCAGAGACATTAATTAGGGATATGCATAAATGTGCCCACATGTAAAGCGAGGATATTTTGTCACACTGAACAAATACCTGTATTGTTTAATTGAAATTCAGTATTGGACTAAAGAAATTAGTGAATTTTAATCCTACCCTCTGTGTTAGTCAAATAAATTATTCCAACAGATGTTTCCTCTTTCCCTATACATGCTAGGTGATGTTTGACCTTGGCAACTGAAAAACAGGCATTAAATACCTTTTTAACCTACATCTAAGATCCACTGAGGATTACATACAGCCTGAACAATGAAAAAAGCCAGTTATTACTAGATTACTGAAATATGTCATTAATCTTTCTTTTTTGATGATATAAAAACAATAGCAATTTTATATTGGATTTTAAGTTAGTTTTGAACATTTAGAGAGAATTATGGATATTGACAGGAAGTAATTAAAAGAAAACAAATCACTTAACTATTTTAAAGATACCTAATACCTTCCAATGGGATACGCTATTATTAATTTTCCCTGAGTAGAGAAGTTGTTGAAATTTTGATGTTGTAAACTTAATCTGTGACCAGCAGTTTCTGCCCACATTTCCTTACTCATGGAATTAAATATCATAGTAGGTATTCGTAGCAATATTGTAGCAATTCAGAATTTGGTGGGAAAGTCACCTTTTGTGTCTCCAGTGTATGTTATGTGATTAGGAATATGGTAATATCTTTAAATGATACAGTCAGTATATAATAAGTACACTGCATTGTGGCAACTAATCGTAAGCCGCTCTCCTAGCCAGCAGGCACATCCTGCATAGTTCAAGTTCTAGTTCAAATGGAAGGAACTTGCAGTGAGCAATTTTAGTTCTCCTCTTGTTAGCTCTTTGACAGGTGCTCTTATCAGCATTGTATGTATGTATGTATTTATTATTTATAAATTCCTTGAGGTGATTTGTGTGGTCTGAAATCCATACAGAGTAATGTATATTTGGTGACAGGTAAGAATGTACAAGTTCTGCATGTATACTGGGCTTTTATTTATATCAATCTTACGGACATGATAATAAATAAAATTATTAAGGTCTATTATATGACCATTTTGGGGGGAGGGCTGAAACTGAGACTATAATGATTGTATACCCCAAACATAACATTTACAATCCTATGTTTATTTCATATTGCAGAACACAGTTCTCTTACAGAACTGTTCAAGAGAGCAGCGAGGCAGTATGTTACCTCCAGGTAACCTGAATCTTGCTCTCTTACTGAATAATAATTTCAGAAAACTTCTGAAAATTCAGAAATAATTTTTTTTTTTTTAACCTTGTCTTCAGGAAAAGGAGAAATACAGAGTTAAGATACAAACCAGCGCAGTTTTTAGCTGTGCACCCTGGAGCTGGTTTTAGCCACTGAATAGCTACAAGCACTCCAGCTGTATTCCAAATTAGTGCATTAAATATTTGGAGATACCAGCTGGAGCACTTTGGCGGAGCTGAGAGCATGTTTTCAACAAACCTGGAGTGTCTTTTCCAGCAGCTACAGCCCATCCCACTGCCTTTTCTTGGTGATGGTGTTGAAGGACAAATGTAAACATCTCCTCAGTGAGGTCCAGAAAGTATCAATCAGCAATTAGTGATGAAGGCTGTGGAAGAGAAATATAAGGAATTTACTTGCCGTTGAATTATTCAGCTATGATATAGGATATGAAAGGAGTAACTGTAATGCTAGATAAAGTGTAAGGATGAAGACATGAAGTGACATTCTGAAATTAAATAGTATTGCAGAAGCAGAGCCATTGGGAATGAGGTCAGGTATTAGCAGTTTCTAGTTACTGTGGCCCATGTAAGATTTCAGCAGGCAATTCAGCAAGTTTAGTGGTTGGTTCCATTTTTCCTGGAGAATATGCACTACCTGCAAAGGTGAGTCTAAGTGCTTTTATAGGACATGATTAACATTACAGTAATGTGTACCTTCATGGTGTTTTCTGTAGCCATGTTTACAGCCTTGCTGAATGTGGTGCTGAATGATTCTGCCCATTGTAATTCATAATCTGTTTAGAAGGAAAGATATGTCATTACAAACATGCAAGATGATGTACAAGTGGCATTATCTTCTGTCTAAACTTAAATTTCAGTAGTGGTAATTAAAAGGAAAAAAAAAAAAAAGTACTTTTAATATATGCCAAATCTGTAGTACTTAACACTTCCCCATCATTCAGCATCCGTTGTTGGCCATGACCACGCCTCTCCCACTCCTGTTCTTTGTGCTGCTGGCTGTGCCCTAAACTGGGAAGGAGAAAGGATGTAAAATACACTTACAGAACACATGGACCGAGAGACCCACTGTGCCCTTGAAAAGTATAAATGCTTTTTCAAACTGCTGAGAGAAAGCACACATCTCCTGAGGAGCAGATTGCCAGCTAGACCACATGTGCTCCTGCGTGTCTGGATGACCAGATCTAATAGAGACACATTCTTGTTGGGAGGTATGTGCCTGCTGATTGGCAAGCTGGCAGGAGCCCATTTGCCTGCACCAGTCTGCTGCCTCTTCTAGGAGACACGTGCTATTTCCTAGACCTTTAGAAAACCAAATGGCTCCTGCAATTTGTCAGCCAGTAGTAGGTCAAAAAATCACCTGGGGATATCTGGGTTTGCAGGCTGTAATACACTTCCAAGAACATTGAAACCCAGACTGTTTGAAACCTTCTATGTAAAATACATGAATATTTAGAATAGTTTAGGTTGGAAAGACCCTTAAGATCACTGAGTCCAACTGTAAGTCAATAACATTTCAAACAGAATGCAGAGAGAGAGAGACATATTCAGTGACTTCAGAGTGAGTTGCATCTTGTAAACAGTTCCATCAAAACTGTATCAGGAATGAAGTACTACTTCAGGATGGTAAAATAAACAAAAAGCAAACTCAGACCTTTGCATATCTATTCTTTCAGTGTTACATGTTCACTATAATAGTTATTAGATAAATGAAAGAGACATTTAGTATGCAGTGTTTACTTTTTTCCTACCCTTGGATCTTTGTTGTTGGTACTTTTACAGACTACTGTTGAGAAAAAAACCTCAAAACTTCATAACATTTTAGTCCACTGTGCTAGCACTGCACATTTTTCATTGTGCATCTAATTTACAAAATGACAAAAATCACTTTTATATACACAAAGTACAAATCAAATTGACAAAGTAAAGAAATAATGCTGTGTTTTCAGGGTTTTAAAACAGATACTTGCATGGGAGATTTAAAAAGTAACTTGAGGTTAAAATAAAGACTGATAATTGAATAGAGTTATATAAATAAATTCTGTAATAACTTCAGTATAACTCTGGAAGCTATTCAGTTGAAGTCAGTTCCAATAAAGTAATTTACTGCAATGATATAAACACAGTTTTGATATTTGCCTTCCTTTATCCTATCACACATTGTGTAGGCATACTTCCATATCTGAAAATTTGAAAGCAGCTGCTTGAACAAACCTGAGGTGAAAACGCAGTCATTGTAGCAAGCTGAGATGCTATATTTTGGAGGACAGCATTACAACCACTAATTCCTTAGTAACAGCTACTCCTCTTCAACTTCACTTCCCGCACCTTGGGATGCATCCCTTCCAGTTGCAAAGACTTGCATGTGTCATATTTGCCTTAGTGATTCCTAACTCCATCATCATATACTGTTGGTAGTATTTCTCCCCACCAAAAACTGCTCCTAGGACCTAGGAGGTGTGAGCCCAGGCCATGCCAGTAAAGATTCTGATGCTTTCAGAGCAATCCTCAGCACTGTTGGAACTTCTTGATGTGTTAGAACTACCAAAAAAAACCAAAACCAAGGCATCCCTCAGTGCTTGAACACCTCCCCTTGGTACTGCTCCAACCATAATCAGAATATATGTATAGATACATAAGCTGTGTAATCACTGTATGCACACACAGTGTTTGAGTTGCTGTTCAAATGTGAACTTTAGATCAGTAATCAAAGAAAAAATCCTGTTTTTCCTAAATATCACATTTAAAACAGTGCAAGGTGTACGTTAATGTAATGCCATGTTATTTCTTTATAAATGCAGGTAAAGTAGTGCATAAAACTGCCTGTGATACAACTATAAAAGCCACCCAATCCAAAAATTCAGAGGTTGAGGCAGAAAGGAAAAAAAAAATAGCCAAAAAATTGAGTCAGTGTTCAAGATATGCTCATTGATCTTTCAGGATGAGGATTCAGACATGTGAACTGTTAATATGGGAAAGCATGTGGTTGTAATTCAGAGTGTAACTGGTAAAAATAAGGGGATCTGAAAGGCTCTTCCTTCTTTTTCTTACAATGTTTTATCTCAGTGTCTTGTGCTAAGTAGCTATCCTGACTAACAGAGCTCTGAGGGGAATCAATTAATATGTGAACCTGCTGATTTACAGTCACTAACTCATAAATATTACATATTGTGACTATAGCAAATAAATTTTATTTTGCTAGGTAAAAAAAAAAAAAAACAACAAAAAAAAAACCCACAACAGTGAGGTTTTATTTTGTCATGTGGCCTTGAAAGATTCTAGGAGTTCACTGCTAAAAAAATATGTATTTAAACCTTACCTCTTCAATCAAATAACACTGTAACCAGAGACCACAGAAATGACTGACTACATCTTTCTGTTCTCTTAATTCTGAGCAGAATTAATTGCTGCATCAAAACCGAGATAAATCAGAGCCAGCTGTGAAATGATCCATGTAATAGACTAATACTTTAATTCAAAAAGTGGCTTGGAGCAATAAGATCTTCCTTTCTTGGAGAGTTAATATATCAGACTGTCATAGTAATCACTAATTATATGTCCAGTAAAGTTGAGTATAATCAGTTTCATGTAGTTTGTAGAAAAACGTTTTGGAATAAAAGACTGAGTCTTATCTGATTCAATTTATATGAGAAATTGCTAAGATTTTGTTTCTTACAGGACTTGAAAATTATCAGTACTTGATACACATTTATGTGGAAAACATTGTTAACTATCACCATTTTTGTGTGTGGGAAGTCAGTTAATTTTGTAATAAAGGAATGTATAACACTCCAAATGTTCAGATTATGTCAGTTCAGATTAGTCTGGCCCCAGGTTTGGCACTGGGGGAAAAAAAAAAAGGGG